AAAAAAATTAAAATTTAGATGATCTAAATGATGTGTGAATAACACCAGCCAGTACAAACTCCATGACCAATTATAAAATTGAGCCAATTAAATAAATGAAAAGAAAAATGAAAAAAATATGTAAATAAGGATGTTAATTTTATATTTTATTTAGGTAAAATCTTTAAATTTATTTTTTAAATAAGAGAGAGTAGGGATATATTTGTTTGTAAAAAATAGAAACAAATTAATTTTTTAAATTATTGATAAAAAAATTATTTATTATTTAACATATATCATCGTCAATGTTGACATGCCAAAATGAATGAAATTGTCATTGTTGGAATAGGCCCAACATCCGCCCAACATCTAAACAGGGTTGTGCATAACAGGCTTAGGCTATCGCCCACTAGCCCAAGTTAAGGGAGCACCAATGCAAGCATACCCACGTGACCAGCACAGCGTGGGCTAATGAGATGCTTACATGTACAGATACATGTCAGCACTTGGGGCTATAAATACCCCCCCCCAACTACCTCCGATAAAGGTAATTAATCTCTACGCTTCTCTCTTTGCAATTACTCCTTGAGAGCATATCTCTCTAGAATATCGAGTATTGTTGACTTAAGCGTTGGAGTGTTTTCCTCGAGGAAACATTCTCAGGATTTTCAGGTGTAGAAGCAGCTAAGGACTTCAATAGCGTTGGACAACGAAGCTGCCGAAACATTTGGCGCCGTCTGTGGGAAACTCGAACGAGAAGTTGTGTAGCCTAACCCACTGAAAAGAAAGAAAGAAAAAAAAAAGATGGTTCGTACTTTTACCAGAAATCACCCCCCAAGAAACCAAATGGACGAACAGGAGGACGCTCAACTATCTGAGCCCGGCTTGAATGACTTTAGGCTAATGCCAAGGAACCTTTTCGTCGGAGGAGCAGAACAGGATCAACTAAGTGAAACAGATGATAATGAAAGAACACAAACCGGGTATGCAAGTCAGCCTGAACAGTTCCAAGTTCCAACAGGAATAAGACAAAGACATTCTAGACCATACAATTCACAGCATGAACGACCTAAAAGGTCAACAGAACCTGCTCGAACAACCGAACTCTAAGAGAGAACCAGAGTTCTCGAAATGGCAATGGGTAAAATCCTTGCCCGCCTGATCCCTAATGACCCCCTGATTCCTTTGTTGAACAGGGATGCACAGCCAGCTGCAGTTGTTGCAACTCGAAACTCCCCCACTCTGAGCAACATAGTGGTGCCGACCAGGCCGAGGGGAAGCGGGAAGCTAAATAACGAGCCCAGCTCGTCCAAATATAGCGAAGAACTGATGAGAAAGAACGCAGACCTTGAAAGACAGCTGCGGGACATACAAAAATCTATTGACGAGCTGAAAAGTCCCAGGTCGCACCAACAGACCCTAGATTTGGATAGTGCTCCACTAAACCTATCCATCACAATGGAACCGTATCAAGGGGGATTTAAAATTCCCCACCTAGAGACGTATGATGGCTCGGATGACCCTGATGAACATCTGCACACCTATCAAGCCATCATGAGAATCCAAAATGCCAATGATGCCATGATGTGCAAAGTGTTTCCAGCGACACTCAAGTCAACAGCCAGGAGATGGTATCACAAACTCCCTAGACATTCTATAGACTCATACTCCCAACTCGCCAAGCTATTCTCCAACAAGTTTGCGAGCCAAAGGGAGATTAAACGCACAACGACTGAGCTGATGCAAGCTCATCAGAAGGAAGGGGAATCTCTGAGGGACTACATGCAGCGATTCAACAAAACCACTTTAGACATTGATAATGTCCCAGATACCATCTGCTTGTCGGCCTTGCTGCATGGTTTGAAGAGTGGTCGATTCATAGACGACCTGCTAGAAAACCCACTGAAGACGTGGAACGAAGTGAATGACAGGTCAACTAGCTTCATACTGTTAGAAGATTTCTAGTCGTCCAAGCGACGAGCTGACGATAAGTAGAGCAAAGGCCAGGAACAACCACCGAGGAGAGAGGAAAAGAAAAAGCAGAAAGTCAACGAGCAGTGGGGGAAGCCCGCTGACTTCCCAAAGTATGCCAACTACATTCCTTTGACCTTGCCAAGGTCTCAAATCTTGGCACAAATCCAGCACTGGGTTAGAAGACCCCCACCCCTACTGCATGATTCCCCGAGGGCAGACAAGAGCAAGCATTGCAACTACCACCGTACTTATGGTCACAATACAGAAGATTGCCAACACTTAAAGGACGAGCTGAAATTTTTAGCTCGCAATGGGAAATTAGAAGGATATGCACAGAAGCCTTATACCCAGCAACCATCTCAAACTCACTTTGTGCAAGGGTATGACCGGCCTTAGGGGCAGAGGTATCAACTCGGCAGCACACAGGATGTGTATTAGGATAGCCAATATCCTTCTGAGCAGGGTAGAGCATACAGATGACGTCAGTTCAATAGGAGAGGACAAGGACAGAGAACTACCGCCTAGAACCAAAAAGATAGGAAAGGGGTAGGTTATGCTGGGATACCCCCGCCCTTTGGTACAATAAATATGATCTCAAGTGGTGTTCACTTCGGAGGCCAAAGTGCCCGAGGTCGCAAAGCGTATGCACGCCAAGTGATGACTGTTAATAAAAACAGGCCTTTGAAACGCCCATTTGAAGAAGCAGAATGGGAAAATGTAGCCATCACATTTAGCCCGACAGACTATAAGCGAGCAGAAGGAGAGCCCGACATTATGATGCCGCATGTAAATCCTTTCGTGGCAACGGTTCATATAGGCAACCATAACATCAACAAGGTCTTCATTGACACTGGTAGTTCACCGAATATCTTGTACTGGAGTTGCTTCCAGAAAATGCAGCTGAATCCGAACTCACTACAGAAGCATGAAGGGCCTATATATGGGTTTGACAATCAGCCTGTCCCGGTTGAAGGAGTCATTACTCTTCCCATCTACATGGGTTCAGAACCACGCTTCAGGATGGCTTCAGTCAGCTTCCTGGTCGTCAAAATGGAGTCGACCTTCAATGCCATATTAGGAAGAGCCACCCTCTGTGAGCTGAAAGCTGTTATTTCTCAACCCCATCTCTGTATGAAATTCCCAACTCTTCAAGGGGTAGGAGTGCTTAAAGGGAACCAGAAGATGGCCAGAGCCTGCTACCAAGATACTTTCAAGAAGGTTGAGCTCGCTGCAGCCCCAGTAGGTTCTGAGATTCACAGGCTGACCCAGCTCGGTCAACAGACAATGAGTATATCAGACATTGAGCACCGACCTGAAGGTGTCGAGCAGAAGGCAGAGCCGGTAGAGCCAGTGGAGATAGTTCCTTTAAACCCTGATGTGATGGAAAGAACAGTTAAGATCGGCACCAGGCTCATAGAAAAAGAGCAGGCAGAGCTTTTGAAGTTTCTAAGGGCTAATCAAGATGTGTTTGCGTGGACTACAGATGAAATGCCTAGCATTCCAGCGGAGTTGACAGTCCACAAACTCAGCACGGACCCCACCAAAAGGCCGATGGTGCAAAAACGTCGCCTTTTTGGCCTTGAGAAGCAGGCTGCAATAAATGAAGAGATACAAAAGCTACTATAAGCAGGCTTCATCAAAAGAGTTGAATACTCTAAATGGGTGTCCAACCCTGTGCTAGTTAAAAAACCGAATGGCAAGTGGAGGATGTGCATTGATTTCACAAATTTAAATGAGGCGTGCTCGAAAGACTCTCATCCCTTGCCAAATGTCGAGAAGCTAGTAGAACGGGCAGCCGGACATGAACGGATGAGCTTTCTTGATGCCAGCTTGGGTTATAACCAGGTTCAATTGTTGTTAGACGACCAGGAGAAAACAGCTTTCTACGCTGGTGACGCAATTTACTGCTATGTGATGATGCTGTTTGGCTTGAAAAATGCTAGCGCTACATATCAGAAACTGGTGCAAATCATCTTTAAGTTTTAGATCGGCAGAAACATAGAAGTATATGTGGATGATATGATAGTCACCAGCGTGTGAGCTGAGGATCATATAGACGACTTGAGTAAGACCTTTCAAAACTTGCGCCAAGCCCAAAAGAAGCTGAATCCATTGAAATGCACATTTGCTGTAGAGTCAGGAAAATTCTTGGGGTACGTGGTATCCAAGAAAGGAATTGAGGTAAATCCAGAGAAGGTTCAGGCCGTTCAGCAGATGGAACCGCCCAAGATGGTAAAAGATGTGTAGCGTTTGACAGGTTGTGTTGTTGCGCTGCATAGGTTTATTGCCAAGTCGGCAGAAAGATGCCTCCCTTTCTTTAAAGCCCTGAGAGAGCCCAAGAACTTTCAGTGGACGGATGAATGTTAGCGGGTGTTTGACGAGCTCAAACACTATCTAGCATCAGCACCCCTACTATCTAAACCTGTGGAGGGGGAAAGTTTATACCTGTATCTGGGGGTTACGGAAGAGGCGGTGAGCTCGATCCTACTCAGGGAAGAGAATAAGAATCAAAAGCCTATCTGCTATGTGAGCAATGTTTTACAAGATGCCAAGCAGAACTACCCACTAGCAGAAAAGGCTGCTTTTGCTATGGTTTGCACAGCTCGTAAGTTGAGAGTTTACTTCAAATATCATCAAATTGTTGTCTATACCGATCTGCCGTTGAAGAGGATATTGCAGAGACCGGAACTCTCTGGTCGGTTTATCGGATGGAGCGTCAAGCTGAGTGAGTACGACCTCAAATTTAAACCACGCACAACTATAAAAGGCCAGGCTGTTGCAGTTTCCTGGTGGACTGCGTTTCGGCGACTGTGGAAGAAAAGGCACCCGAACACCAAGTCTGGGTCTTGTATGTTGATAGAGCTGCTAACGTTGAAGGATCGGGTGCTGGGGCTGTGTTAGTGAGCCCAGATGGCTTTAAATCTGAAACACGCACTGAGGTTTAAGTTTCAGACAACTAATAATGCTGTAGAATATGAAGCCCTCATTTACTGATTGAAGCTGGCGTCCGAGTTGAAGGTACAGAGCATTCAGGTTTTTAACGACTCTCAGCTCGTTGTGGGCCACGTGAAGGGCAGTTGTGAAATTAGGGATCCCCAGCTTGGTCGCTATGCCTCTGTGGTCAACAGATTGAAGTCAAGATTCGACTCATTCCAAATCGACAAAATACCGAGAGCGGATAACCAACGAGCTGACGAGCTGTCAAAATTAGCCTCCTCGCAAGATGTCAACCCTCATAGGTCAACAATGGTGGAGGTACTTGACACTCCGAGCTACGCCGATTGCACAGTCGAGTGTCAGTTGCTCAGCACGGATCCCTCTTCACCGAGCTGGACTACCCCGCTCATAGATTATCTGTGCAATGGCGAGCTGCCTAAAGATCCGTCTGCTGCAAAATTGATTAAACGCAAGGCGGCTCATTTCACTTTGTTATGCAATCAGCTCTACAAACGAGCAGCCTCAATGCCCTTATTACGCTGCCTCACTCCTTATGAAGCCGAATATGCTGTGAGGGAAGTTCATGAAGGAGTATGTGGTACACACATAGGTGGCAGAACTTTAGCTTGGAAACTCCTGAGGCATGGGTATTACTGGCCAACTATGGTTGAGGACGCACAGAACTATGTCAAAAAGTGCTCGACCTGCTAGTTCACCGTTGATGATATTCACATGCCAGGTATCTGAGCTCGTTCTAAAGTTCGTGCAAACTTCGTGTTTGTCTATAAACTAAGCATAAGTATCTTTGTTGAAATAGGAGAAATGCTCTCATTACTCTCATCTCCCTGGCCTTTTCCTCAATGGGGAGTCGACTTGCTCGGTCCTTTTGTGAAAGGCAAAGGAGGTTGCACTTACCTCGTTGTTGCTGCGGTGGATTACTTCACCAAATGGATAGAAGCTAAACCATTGTCCACGACAAAAGAGAAGAAAATAGAAGAATTCCTGTTTAATTCAATATTATGTAGGTATTCTTCGGTGACTTAAGTTATTGGCACATTATATATAAGTATAATTTGTGGTTCAGCTCGATCATCTTTTTTCAGGTTCGTCATACCTAAACGGATCATTGCTGACAATGGTCCGCAGTTCCGAGCCGCTGCACTGAGGTCGTTCTGTAATGACTATGGCATTGAGCTCGCCTTGACATCTGTGTATACTCCACAGTCAAATGGATAGGCCGAGTCCGCCAATAAAATCGTCTTGCGAGGCCTCAAGACGCGTGTTCTGGCTGCATATTCTAATTGGGTTGATGAGCTCAATAAAGTGCTTTGGTCATGTCACACTACACCCAGCTTGGCCACAGGCGAGACTCCATTCAGCCTTGCCTATGGAGCTGAGGCTGTCATCCCTGTAGAGATCGAATTGCCCTCTGATAGATCAGATCGTTATGACGATCTTAATAATGAGCAATTTTTAAGAGAGAACCTATACCTAGTGGAGGAAGTTAGGGAGATGTCTCGAATAAGAAACATGGCGCATCAGAATCGTGTTGCAAAATTTTATAATAAAAGAGTTTGAGCTCGTTAGTTTCAGGTCGGCGATTTGGTTTTACGCAAAGCTGGATTAACCAATTCTTATTCACACATGGGCAAGCTTGCTCCTAATTGGGAAGGACCCTATATGGTTGTTCAAATTAAACGACCTGGGTCTTATGTGTTAGCAGATATACAAGGACGTTAGTTGCCTTACATTTGGAACATACACAACCTTAGAAAATTTTACAGTTAACATGTATTCTGTTATTTTATTCAAGTTGTTATCCAGCAACTGTAAATGACAACGTACAGAAAATATGTAACTGTCAATACAAAAATTTCAAAAGTAAGTTCATATTTGTATTTCATCAAAGATTTTTACATTTAAGATGCATCTGGAATGGATCCCTTGATCAAATATAAAAATGCAGAAGCAAAAATACAAAAGATCAAAATCCCCAAGATTCAGATCGTAGCAGGCTGATATGTTCCCCGTCCCATTCATACAAGCTCGTCATTATGACCACATTCACCAAGTCGTCACGAACGTGATTGCTTGTCCAAAATCACAGATAGTTTGCTAAGATTCAGGTCGTAACAGGTTGGTCTGTCCCTTTTCCCGTCCATCCCAGCTCGTCAGGACGACCACATTTACCAGAATGACAGCTTGTCCAAAATCACAGATCCCTAGAGGTTAGAGATCGCTCCACTCGGCTTCGGGCCCATGTCCGTTCGGCGATCCCAAATTGTTCCGTGGTTGAGGTCGTCACATATCAGGTCGTCCCTCTGTTTGAGGGACAACCTTATTTGTTCACTTCAAAACCTTCGACAGTGTCTAGGATTCAGGTCGTCACACATTTGCGAGTAACACTTTGAATTGAGTGCATGGTTATCCACCAAGCGGGCTTATCTTTGGTGAGTCGCATTAGCTCGCCGATATACCATGCCCATGCTGTACCGATATCAGCTCGCCTGTACACTTTGAGACTCGCGAGTTCGCACCATTTACTACCACCTTTCAGCTCAGCCGTCAATGAGGTCGGCCGCGAGTTGTTAAGGCTGTCCATCATAGTCACCAGCTCGAGTGTTGGCCCACGAGCACATCCATCCCAGTTCGTCAACCGAACGCTGGGGGGGGAGTAATGTTGGAATAAGCCCAACATCCGCCCAACATCTAAATAGGGTTGTGCATAACAGGCCTAGGCTATCGCCCACTAGCCCAAGTTGAGGGAGCACCAATGCAAGCATACCCACGTGGATCAGCACCATGTGGGTCAATGAGATGCTTACATGTACAGATGCATGTCAGCACTTGGGGCTATAAATACCCCCCCCAACTACCTCCGATGAAGGTAATTAATCTCTACGCTTCTCTCTCTGTAATTACTCATTGAGAGCATCTCTCTCTAGAATATCGAGTATTGCTGACTTGATCGTCAGAGTGTTTTTTCCTCGAGGAAATATCATCGGGATTTTCAGGTGTAAAAGCAGTTAAGGACTTTAACAACGTTGGACAACGAAGCTGCCGAAACAGTCATTTATCTAAATAAAGTGAGATAAATCACTAAAATTTATGTAAAAATTGACTGAAATGATAGTACTATTGGAATTATCTTGATTATTTGTGTGGTGGGACTTGTGACGTGGGTATTCTATGGGCTTGGATTAGTACTATTGGAATTGAAATTTGGTGTGGGTCTTCAAAGTCGTTATTCGGCGTTTATCTGGGTTAAAAAGTCGTCGTTTGACGAAGGGAGTGCGGACGTGCGGACGTGCGGACGTGGGGTCTACCGTGGACTTTGATTAGTATTGGCATTTGACTATTACTTACTGACTACGAAGCCGTGTTCATATTCTCTTGTTTGAATGTCATCGATGAGGGGATGCTTTATGGCTTTTGAAAGGTGAAATGTGAATTTTACTCTCTGAACTTTATATTTTGAATATTTTTGTATTTCAAATTATTTTTAGCATTTATTTGCCCCCTTCAACTATATAGATTGTATTTTTTTGTTCTATTACTAGTTAAGTAATGATGTAGTCATTAATTTATTTTTTAAAATTATTTTCTTTCAATTTTTAATGAGTTTTTCTCAATTTTATATTTTTTCTATCCTAAAAGCAATTAATTGCATCTTTAAATAAAAATGACAAAATTTATATATTTATTTATACTTTTTCTTTCACTATTCATGATTTGAATAGTTAAAAATTTGTTAAAATTAAATAACTAAAAACTTTTTTTTATCACATTAATATTATTATTTAATTATTTTTAAATAAAAAATAAAAAATTAATAATTTTAAATAAATAAAATTAAAAATTAATTATATTATTTAAAAACTAAATAATTCATATTTTTAAATATAAAAAATAATAAATTCTATATCATTATCTACGCTTTTTTTTTCGATAGGTGGGGACCAAAGTCCTAAACTAATTGCTTAATTTGATGATAGTTTGATGGCGAGTTGTGGAGGGAGTTGTGGGCCCTCCTGCTGCTACGTATCATGGTCGACCATATTGGGACTTGTGGTCTTCCATGATCTTGGATTTGCACTTATATTAGTATTGAAATTTGGCGTCAATTGTTCTCCGCGTGATGAACGGGATGGTACCACTTCGCTTCTAAGTGAGATCATCGCTGGAAGGTTACTCCTGGTCACCTATCCCCCACCCCTTCTCTAAGTGGGAACACCGTTGGGGGAGGGGGGTGGTTTGAGGTGCGGCCTTCTTTGTGGACTTGGATTGGTACAATTGATATTGGAATTTGGTGTGGATCTGGTCCATTTAAGGTGGGTCGTCAAAATCGTTATTGGTGGCGTGCTTTTGGTTCATTTGACATGGGGTGTTTCGTGGACTTTAATTAGTATTGGCGTTTGACTATTACTTTCCTTACTGATAACAAAGCTATAGGGGTGGCTGGAAAAGGTTCGTTCCAGAGAAAAATTTTGAAACCTATTGAAATCATAACTGTTAGTTAGATTTTGAGATTTTTTTT